AAACAACGTGAAAAAGACAAAATGGTCCATTAAATTGTAAAAAGGCTGCATATCACAGAATTGTAAAGGGAGTAATACTTAAACCACAGGTCGCAGTACACCCTCTTTTGAGCTTAAGGGTCCCTAGATTACCTAGTATCTCTAAAACGTTGATTTTTACATAACAATCTGTCAAAATTCAAACTTTTAATGAAAACCGTTACCGAACAGCAGAAGTTTCATGTCCCTAATTTTAGAGTAAAAAGGCCCCGACAGTCGGTTTGAGTATGTCAACTTTTGGCCCAGGAAGGCCCTGTTCCCCAATACCCTCTCCTTTACTCGTCTCGGGTGTCAGCGCTGCAGGCCTAGCTATATGTGCGCCAGGCGCGTCGCAGCGTAACAGTGTTTCGTGAGATATCGCGAAGCCTGTTACGCGAGACGTGGTCTGGCGTACATATAGCTAGTTTAAAACGTCGTTTTTAGGACCTGTTGTTGTTGATTTTTTAAAAATCCAACTTTTGAGCTAGAATGCTCATCTTCGAACTCGATCCGTTTTTATGACACAAAACGACCCTGAAAATCCCAGGTCGGTAGCTCAATTCGTTCTCGAGTTATCGTGACGACAGACACACAGACAGACAGACGCGAAACTTTTTGATCATCACTGGAGTAATAGGCTTCGTTAATCGCTCGGCCAACTATACTTCGAAAGAAAGAAAGGAAGATTGCGTATTTGAACCTTGAAATATCAGAATAGAAGTCGACACTCTGAACCACTGCGCTATACGCATCTGTCTGGGTACGACCGGTCGGGGCAGAGTGACTCTCCTCTGACTTAACTAGCTGTATGTACCTACGCCAGACCACGTCTCGCGTAACAGGCTTCGCGATATCTCACGAAACACTGTTAGCCTTTTCTACGGTTTAATAAACCATTTGGTAATTTTCACCACTTTTTTGTCCAGTGATGCCCCCTTGCACCCAAACGGTACAAGCTAGAGCAAAACGGACGAAATTTTCGCCCAAAGGGTTCTTCTTTCACGAGTTACCCCTTCGGAGTCCGTACAAAAATACTGGAAAAAAATAAATATTTTGCAACTTTTGGTTTTTAATTTATTTTTTTTAAGTCAATTTTTGAGCTAGAATGCTCATCTTTGAATTCTATCTGTCTTTTTGTGATACAAAACGACCCTAAAATTCCCAGATCGCTATCTCAATTCGTTCTCGAGTTATCGTGCGGACAGACAAACAAACAAAGTGAAACTTTTCCGGTCAGTGGAGTAATGGCCTTCGCTAATCGCTCAGCCAATGACGGGTGAACTGACTTTCGACTCATATTGACTTATTTTTAACTGAATGTCACTGCGTTACGACCTGTCAGAACCAGGGACCCGTACCTTAACGTAATGTCGCTACGTTACAAGTTCCCGGCACGAATTTAAATGACCGTAAATAATTTTGTTACGTTACTGTAACGTAACGTAATTGTAGCAATTTGCGTTACACAGCATTTGAAGAAATAACGTATTTAAAAAAGTAATATTTTAGAGGTCTTTCAGTGCAAGGGGCTCGGCTTATAGCTAATGAAATCAATAACGTGGGATATTGGGAAGTATCTCGCAGGGCTTGCGAAATAATAGATATGTTATATTTTTGTAAAATTACATTCGATACGTTACCCGTTATAAGTTACGTAACGTAACAAACCAATTTTTGTTTGTATGTCGGGACAAGGAACGTAACGTGAAACTTTTTTTTTGTAACGACAACTTTGTTAAGTTACGGGTCCCTGGTCAGAACCCGCTGCGGAGTGAAGGTCTTCGAAGAGAAATTTTCCAAGTCCAGCCCTCTGTTCACAAAGGAGTAAACCTTCAGCTCGTCGCAGTCACAAAGTTTAACTGCACGTAGCTATAGAATGACTAATCTTGCTGGAGCGAGTATTCTCGCAAATGTTAGTTACGACATTGTCAGATTTTAGTTCAGGAGGGCGACTGAGAGTTACTAAAGTTTGCATATATTTAACTTACATGGCGTTTATGCAAAAGCCGTTTGAAACAGAGCCAAAATATAGGGGCTTTGGCTGACTGATAGTATTTGTACATGGACTGAAAGCGGTCCTCAAGTAACTAAAAGAAGAATCGGTCGGTATCAGCTCGAGCGAATGTATTGTCAGTCAGTCTTAGTCGCGTCCGCAGTCGAAAAGCAAAGCTATGATTAGTTGAACTTCAGTATGAAAATGTGACTGGTTTTTGCTGTAAAGTAACTGATGCATGGACTGCATATAGGGTACTCCGGGGCTCGGCCAGACCGGCAGGAGAAGAACAAAAGTCGTCGGGCGCGAGGAGGAGCGAGGCAGGGTGGTGGCAGTACCCCGCTGCTCCCCGCGACCGATCGGCCCGACGATTTTTGTTCCTCTCCTTCCGGTCTAGTCCAGCCTCGGAGTACCCTATTGGCTGATTACACGTTAGCTAAATTCGTATCAAAATGCAGGAATAATCCGGGAAAATCTTCTTATCCCAGTCGCAGTTAGTACTTCGCGGTCAAAAGCAGTTCGCTCAGTTCATCTCAGTTAGGTAACAGCTAACTTCAGTTAACTTGTCGGGTCCGAGAACTTCGTCGGCATCGGCCAATGAGCGGCAAGGAGGAAAAAGTTCAGGGAGAACTCTTGTTCTTCTTTGGATCCGGTTTGCGTCAGGTGAAATACCCTATTTGAAAGATAAGTCATTGAGTGCAGCTGCTTGCCGATCGGAGTGAAGCTGGCACCTTCGTTTGTCAGAAGGGCGGGTCTGCTTGTTTCTTCCAGAAACGCGCAGACATGGAATCGTCTATTTATAGCCCCCCACCGTCCCCGCATCCGCGCGCGCGCGCACACACACACACACACACACACACACCACGGAAGCACACGCGCACGCGCGCGCCACAGGCCTGGCACAGGCCCCCTCCAAAAGGCAGCCCATGACGTATTCGGCCTTGGAGCGGTCTGCTCATCTACCGCGGGGCCGGGCGGGAGCGGGGTATTCGGGGAGAGGAGTACAGAGGGGGCGAGTGAGTGGCCAGTTTGAGCATGCGCTCTACGCCGGCCAGCCCGCTGCACGCTTCACTTCTCGCTGGGCGCCAGTGCCGACTGCCGATGGAGGAGAGCAAGTCGACGAGGTGAGCGGCGCGTACGGAGCGCTTTGTTTACGTCCTACCGGACACGCTGCGTAGCTGTTTAACGCCATCTGATTTGTCCTGTAGATTTGGTGGCCAGGTAAGAGTGTAGGTAGAGTTCAAATCGAAAAATGTCTCCGTTATTACGGGCGCAAAGCCTACAACTATACTTGCCCTAAAAAATCATACTTAATTTGTTCTGTCTAGTTGACTGTAACCTCCCGCATGGAAATAAGTATATCCAGATGACACTTTTGGGTATACTTTTGTTGAAAATACATTAGGTATACTTAAGAGGGTAGGACCGACTTTTGGTTTATTTGACAAATCGATTGAGTATGTTATCCTTATCCACTAGCTCGAGCCGTTTTGCCCTGCGACGCTTAGGTTGGGCGTCGCGACCGAGGGGTCCCCCACTCGTCAACTCGTTGTACACTTGACCGCGCCCAACTCGCGCCAAACTCGCGTTTAACTCACGATAACTCGCGAAAACTCACGATAACTCGCGAAAACTCACGTGAAAATCGCGAAAACTCGCGCCAAAATCCCGCAAAACTCTCTAAAAATTGATCCTAACTCGCGGCCTACTCGCGGCAACTCGCCAACTCGGCAACTCGTTGTACACCTATTTTAGAAGAGGGGGACCCCTCGGTCGCGACGCCTCAAAGTTCGAAATTTTGCTGACTTTGCGACATACGTTTGGCGAAACTACTAGCCGCATAGCTTTCAAACTTTGTGGTGAGATGGTGAGATAATCATGTACCTTGACCAGTGCGTAACAAGTTTTGAACGCTCTAAATTTACTAGGGTGACTCCTGAAACGTCTTGAAAATAGGTCGATCGCAGGCGCGCGTAGCTTCCACATCTCTTATCAAAGTGAAATTTCCTGTTGCACTAGATTAAACATTGATCTTCCAGACCGGCTAATCATAAAAAGTGTCCTTTTCTCCGTTTTGCTAATCGTACGTCGCAATTGAACCTCTGTTTGGAGCTCCCGATCTCCCCGGGACCTTTAGAGAGAGACAGGCTGCACCCGGCTGCGCCCGTCTTCGTCGCGTTGAGAGGGGGGCGGGAGGAGTGAGGGGGGCACCGCAGGCCAGAGGCGGGTCGGGCGGGCCGGCGGCCGGGAGCCGAGAGCCAAGCGCGTCTCTTTCTTTGAGTTTTATGGGGGGTATGGGAGTATTGGCACCGTCCTACAGGTCATTCAAGTAGTTCAAATATCTGTCGTACACGTACACAAGCGGGAATGGCACCGATTAAACCGCAATGAAAAGCTTTACTATGCTCTAAAAAAATCATAATTCTACGTCAATTTTTAGAGTTGACGAAAGTGCAAATTTCGGGACTCGGGCCCTGAACGGTGGCCTACTAAGGGCTCTTCGACTCAAAAGAAGCTCCGGAGCGATGGGCGGCGAGTAGTGGCTAGTCTGTGTCGTCTGGGCACGTTTTTGGATTTTAAAAAAGTTACCCCTCCATTTTTTTTCCTTTTTTGATGTACTTTCCGAGAATGACTTCCTTTTCCCCGTGCGACACGGTCTTTAGGTGGCAACCTTCCCTCAAAGTTGGAAAAACGACGACTATTGCACCAAAAACGGCCGGTATGGACGAAAATTGGTTCAGAGCATCATAGAATTGGCCGCGTGGTACCATAAGTTCGGAAAGGAACAAAGAAACTTTTTGGGGCCCCATCGGCCCTTCTCGACCCAGCACAGGGCGTATCCACTTTGTTAAAGACGTAAATTAACCCAAAATGCACCATCTACGCTCCAATTATCAAGAACCACGCCTAGGAGGGGTGACAAGGCGACCCAGCAGAAGTTTTTTTGAGTGTCAGTCTCACCAAAAGTAAAGGATAGGAGTCGGCAAATTTGCAGATCAGTGGAGGCTGCTGGAGCGGGGAGAATAATCGTGTGTGCAGGTCTTAGCTAAGTGAAGCTTGACGCTTGCTCACCTAGGGTAGCCTGTGCCATATAGCAAAAGTATTAAAATAATGACGGGCCACCACATTAATAGTTGTCTTTTGACCTTCAGAATGGTGTCATATTTTGTCAGATTTATAAAGTTGGATTTAGGGGGAGAGCGCAGGCAAAAAAACACGTTTTTAGCCAAATTTTGTAAATTTAGATTGACTTCTGATGGAAAATTAAAATTCGTTATGTGTATCGCATTTGTTTCATCCTTGTTCATTCTCAAGAGTCTTACTTTCTAGTAAAGGAAAACTACACGGCATCAACCGCAAAGTTATGTACTAGTATAGATTTGTTTCCTTTAAAAAAATATATTTTTCAAAGCGGAAGGGTAGGGGGTTGAAGTCACAGTGGCGCACCATTAAAGCCATTTCCACATTTCCAAGGAGCAACTCTTAAGGGCCGTAAGCCTGCCCGGAAGGCTACAACGGTAAAAACTATGTCTTATTTTTTGAGGAGAAGGGGAGAACTCTTATGTTTGAGGACGAGTCCTCCGAACTCGCCTCAGATTTTTTGAAATATTCTCAAAGTATGAGGAAAAATCTTTTAGGAGACTTCCTCGAAATCTAAAGAGTTCTTGTAAAACTCAAAGTTTCCCCTTTCCTCAAAAAATGATACGTTGTTTTTACCATGTACGTGTAAATAACTGTGTATAGTGATGTAAGGGTCACGCCGCTTATGGCCCGACGAAACTCCGCCAGCAGGCTGAGCAGGTCCGGCCCCTGCCTGTCAGAGTTGCCGGCCAAGCGAATTGTAGCTTCGTTTGGCGGAAAGGCGGGCCTACTTGTCTTCTTTGCGGGGATGATGTAAATGTAGACTATTTTAAAGTGCAAGAATCGTCTCTTCCGGGTAATGGAAATCAGTATTCTCGGGAGTCATGTGAACAGTCCTGTGACTGTGAACACTTACAAGTACAGTGCCTATGCCCTTGCTTATCGTAGCCCAGCTGAGTGGGCCGTTTCGGTGCATGCGCATCGAACGTCACTCACAGGGGCTAGGCAACATAAAGATAACAAAACTTTAAGCAGAAAATAGATATTGGGTTTACGCGGTATTAAACTGTGTTTTTCTCCTTGCAGTGAGTCGGGCTTCAGAGAAAGAGGAGCGCACGGGGTATATCGGTCTCCACAAGAGCGTATCTAGTCGGTGACCGCCGTTGGTGTTGATAACGTCTCGCCCCTCCACCCTCGACGCCATGGGCCCCTCCGAGTGGGACCTCCCAGACGTGCCTCTCGTCCGGGACGGTATCGTAATACTGCCGCCGGTCAGCCTCCCTGAAGACAAGGCAAAGGTGGTGCAGGAACTCGGCCAATGGATGCGTGCTGAGAACCTGCCAGAAACAAGCGGTATGCCTGGTGAAGAAAACCCGAGAAAAACTCGTGGTAGACTAAACATTTAATATTAAACGCAAAAGTAAAAGAAATACTTTGGGGGGGGGGGGGATTCCCCTGGTACATGTGTAAGAGTGAAATTTGTGAAACTGGCTTGCACGTGCTAGTGCTTCACGCCATACTGCAAGCTGTTAAGAGCTTGACTGCATATTGAATGCTATCAACTGTTTAACAGAAAAGTTGAACCCTTAAAAGAGATCATTTTTAGGGTTGTCTGTGAAACTTTGGATACTTTACATGTGTGCAAATTTCCTGTTGAACACTTAACTATTTACATATCACGTCGAACGTATACATTAATTAAAGTACTCATGCCATGTACGCTATATTTAAAGTAAATGCCATGCAGGTTTTTTTTTTAGCCCGCCCTTCTGCTTTGAAAAAGCTATCCAGCGGGCTTATGCAAACGA